TATATATAGTATAGTATATAGTAACTAATATATATATATATATATATATATATATATATATATATATAGATAGATATATACATACATAATACATACATACATACATACATACACACACACATATTTATATATTCATTTTGTTAAGCTCTATATCATAATTTAGACTTTACGACGGTGTCCAGTTTGCTCTCCAGTGCCCAGGCACCACTGACTACATATTTGCTACAATTTCCAACCTTGAGTTAGTTGTGTATACATTAATTTTAATTCACATAATGATGTGTTTATGTATATATGTATATGTGCATGTGTGTACGTGTGTGTGTGTTTGTATGTATGTGTGTGTATGTATTTGTGTGTGTATGTATTTGTGAGTGGACATATGTCTGTATGTAAATATGTTCATCTAGGTATGTATGTACATTTGTATACACACACACACATATATATATTCTATGTATATATATATATATATATACATACACACACACACACACACACACACATATATATATATATATAATATAAAATTATATATATACACACACACATGTATATATATATATACATGTATATACTATATTTACACACAATCACACACACACATATATATACATGAATATCTATATACATATATATGTATGTGTGTACACGTATGCTATGCAAGTAAGCCTGCATATATGTATGTATGAATGTTTATATATAAGTATTGATGTATGCTTACATGCATGTATGTATGTATTTATGTGTGCATGCATGTATATATTTAAGTATGTATATATGTATTTATGGCTGTGTATATACCACACACACACACATACACAAATATATATTTACAGAAACACGCACTAGCACACACACACACAAACACATAAACGCATATATGTATACATACATACGTACAGAGCATATATACATACAGATATGGATAGACACACATACAGACACACAAACACAGAAACGCATACAATTCATAATATATACAAACAGAACATACATGGATGTATAGACACACATACCGACACACAAAACACAGAAACGCAAGTAATATCTACATATATACATACATATATAAACACAGACACAGATACATAACACGGATACACATACACACTCACATATATATAAATACATATTAATTTTGTCTATTGATATCACACATTTTACACAGACACAAACACAGACACAGACACAGTCACATGTAGACTCGCACTGACACAGACACAGACATGGACATACACACACGCTCTCTTTCTCACACTCATACGCACACACACGAGCGCATATATATATATATATATATATATATATATATATATATATATATATACATATATGTCATACATGTATAGTAAGAAAGGAAAGAAAGAAATGTATTTATGCAACTATAATTATTCACATAAACTATGTGTATATGGGTTTGCTTGAATATTCTCTAAAAATTACATTATAACTAGATGTATAAAGTCAATATTGATCGGAAGTCAAGTATAGATTCATGTACAATAATATATAGATGACAATGTTGAAGATCGACAGCTTCCGATTAGACATTATATTCCTTGTGGGTTAGAGTTGGTTCTTAAGCACGAGTGACTATAATGTAGGTACTAGTACCATGTGGAAACAGTCCGATTAGAAAGCCTGACTATTGCAACAATACCTCTTTATCCACTACTGGATACAATCAAAACGGAAACAAGACCTGCCGAATACGATTATTGAAACGAATAAGGTTGCCAGTGGCTAGTCAGTTGCACACATCCACACCGGCCAAATAAACTGATATTAGAAGTTGCGTGGTGAGAGGGGTTATTAAATCTAGGGCATTCACTGTTTCTGCGCACTACGTGGAACAACCGTACTAGATATATGCATTGACATACAAGACAAAAGCAATAACTTACAAGATAGAAGCATCAACTTACAAGATAAAAGCATTAACTTACAAGATAAAAGCATTAACTTACAAGATAAAAAGCATTAACTTACAAGATAAAAGCATTAACTTACAAAATAAAAGCATTAACTTACAAGATAAAAGAATTAACTTACTAGATAAAACAAGATATAGGCGTCAACTTACGTTGTTAAGTTGAAATGTGTCGTTCTCAGCGGGCTCTATCGAATGTGTTCTGTGGACCGTTTGTTCGGCGGCCACGGACGTGGCCAAGAATCGCACACAATGAACATGCGCTGAATTTCCACTCTACTACCAATTGAACGTCCATTTCCGGAGCAAGGGGTCTCCAATTCTGTAGCTGTATCTAGATACTCACATTCCGCTTCGCCAGAATGACTGCCGCTCCCTTCGCCATATTCAATCACCATTGCGGGGAAGTCGGTGGGATGCAGATGTTGCACCAAAAGTTCATACAAGGCTGCATGTGAACGCACAGTTTCGTCGTACAAGCCCTCACTCAGCCGCCCGTTGTCGCCCCAGTTGTACTCATCCGTATCTCTCCCGGGACACAGCCACCGCTGCTTACCCACGACTATGCCGAAACGAGAGGCATTGAAGCCTACCGCAGCGCCAAACTCAGATAGGTGAAACCAGACACCACGGTGGTGAGACGGATGTGTGCCCACAGGAGCGGGTATTGTACTGTGGCTTGTGCTTACTGAGGTCGTGGCCAGTCCCGTACAGAGATTCGTTGGGGGCTTAGTCAATCTGTAGTGTGTATATAATTCGCCAAACACTGTCACCCGGAATGTAGAGGGACGCAAGGATCTCTTCTGTATGGTTTGATGTTGTGTATCGTATGTGTGTATGTGTGGTTGTGTTTGATGCCGAGTTCGCGTGCATTGTGACAATTTTGCCTCACGGCAGGAGTATGCGCATGAGCTCGACCAGCTCAATTCAGTACTTGCCCCGTGTGAGTTGTGCTTATAACTCGTTCTGGGAGTTTCCGTTGACGGAAAGCGCGATAATAAGTATGAGGGATCTTCTGGAGAGAGATCACCGCTCTGAGGCTTAGTCCTCTGATTTTGTATGATATCGTTTGTAGAATTGGGAACCTGCACACCACGTGATGAAGTCTCGGTGCTGACTACTCTTTGGCCTGGTCGAGAGTGTGGTGTAGCGTGTGTGTTTCGCTCTGTTTTACATAGTACATTTTCGCCTGAAGTGGGAGCGCATCTACTCGGTTCGATACCATGACCTGGTGCGCTTGCACGGGGGTTGCGATTGATAAGATCTATAGAATCCTCCAAAGGCTTGGCCTCAGGATCATCGCTTAAGAGATAGGTAGATCTCACGTGCTTGTCATTGTATCCGCTGTTACTTTTCGCAGTTTCATGTTCCTGGTCGTGGGCTGAGGGAATGTCATCGCACCCGTCCGGCGCACTGTACTCGGCCGTGAGCTGCATAAACACACCTTCAGCCTCTGCGCACATACTCAGCTGAATCTGCTTTTTCAGCATCAGGTTGAGCTTGCGTTCCAGAGAATCCTTCCTCCCAGGCCCCAGCCAGCGATACACAAACTCAGACGGCCTCTCACCTGTAAGTGATGTCTGACCTGCAGGTGGCCTTGTACTGTCACGTGGAAGGTCAACCCCACCTTTCATCAGCTTTTCAGAGTTCCATGTCTCCGAATGTGCACACGCACCGACCGACCCAGAGTTGTCTATTACAGATCCATCAAGTGGGTTGCCAGACATACGTTGACCAGCAGACCCAGGGCATGCACATTCGCTAGTGGACCTTTCGTGTTCACTCTCACCAGAGCAGTCTCCGCCAGTTGAGGTTTCCAAGTCACATTCCTTGCAGGACATGAAGTACTTGATAGCGCTCTCAAGATGGACTATCTCGTCGCTGTGATGATCGTGGTACACAAAATCAAACTCGCCGATCGTACACTTGCCGCCCCTCCTGCCCAGCCCTGTGCCAGCGTCAAACACCTGCAGACCGCTGCTGATCAGTGAGTACTGCGGGTCTGTGCTGAGAAAGAACTCCAGCAAGCGCTCGTACATGACACCCAGGCGATGGGACGGTTGTGTATGGTTGTAGATGTGGTTGTGCAGTACAGAAGGGTCTTTATCTAGGTCAATAAGTCTTTGACGTCGGCTAGGAGAGAGCTCAAAGTTAGTACCACTGCAAGTGCCAGCAGACGGCGTGTGGGTAGTAGGTGACGTACAGGGATAAGCGTGCTGAGGTGCGTATGCTTGAGGACTGGGATCACAGGCACACGTAATTTTTGCATGCGTGTCAATATCACACACCCCTTCGCTCAGCTCACATTTGTGGTTGTGGTTTGTTACTACAGCTGCACGCACACCCACACGTTCGTTCCTATGTGCATGCGCTGGCAGACACACACTCGACACGGGCACATCTCCAGACATTGTGCCACATTGAACCACATTGACTACATCGGCTTGCCTGGCCTTCTCTGTGTAGACGTGACCTGCATCTGTCATATCAGTACTACTTGCCGAATACACAGGTGCAGGACTATATGCACCAACTAAATTCAGGGTGGGAGAGCGTCTGTGCGCACCGCTTGCATTTTTAGATTTCCCGCCGGGTTCAGTAGTATCTACACGACAAAGACAATCTGTGCTGTTTGAAATCTTATGATCCCTACTTCTAGTACTGTCAAAGGTGTGTGGTTGTGAATGATAGCACGCAATCAGATTACCAAAGCATGCAAATGCGTAGGCACGCACCAGAGGATTGTCCAGCGAAGCGAGAAACCTTTCTCGCTCATTGGTGGGTCGCATATCGACTTATATATCAGACGTATGCAGTCCTGGATTTAATGGACAAGACCTTAGCAAATCAAGTTTAGGTGTGAGTGAAAAGAGATTAGGCGGATTCAAGTGGACAAGACCTTAGTGAATAGGGTTTAGATGTAGGCAAATGAGCGCACCAAGAGGCCTCAGAGTCTCGCAGAGTGCAGTCCCCATCGTTCTTTACGCATAAAACAGCTTAATCGCTGGACGTCGATCAATAATCAGTAAGCCATGAACACGACAAAGTCTGGACTCACAAGGTACATTTTGTACTATTTTAACACACAACAGTTTGTAGTGTAAATATCAAATGATACATATACGTAAACCACTTGGACGAGTCTTTGACTACTCTTTTTATTATTATAAATAAATAAATAATGCTCATGCATAGCCTTCTAAATTGAAACACTTCTTATGTTTAAAAAAAATTACCCATAAAAGAATCTGCCCCGTCTGGCCTGCTCTCTGGTGGGGTGATGATGAAGTTTGAATCTAGGTGATAGCCCGCCAAAATATTCATTTCCCCGTGCGGGCTGGGGCAGGCCCAGCAGCTGAGCAGCATCTGAGCAGCAGCAGGGTGGGCAGAGTTGTGTAAAAACAGGATCATATGATTCTACACCTCAAGAGACCTATAAACACATGCACCTGTTCGTTTTCAAATAAATATATATCTCGTATCTCGTGTATAGACTATAGTGTAATAAATGTCACAGGCACAGCGACAGTCCCCACCATACATGATAATAGCCAAAGTTACATACGCACGCAAGGCTATTAAAAGCCAAATCAGTCACTCAATTTGTTGGCAATACACTTGCATGCCACGTAAACATCGAAGCCAAATCACTTCCTCGTTCAGGTTACAATATACAGGCAAGTCTTGTATATAAACAATACAAAGCACAATGTTAGACTCAGACGGCCTGCTGCAATACGCTCAGCAGGCCGAGACAGAGCTCTCCACAATGCAGTTGGATGAGTTGGCTGAAGATCAGGAGATTGAAGCGCTACTGCACGATGTGAGAGCAACAGAGTTCCCGCAATTGCAAGGTAACGAAATGTGTGCGTAAGTGTCGATTGAATAAACTGATATAACACTACTAATGTGGCGTGTATTCTGCACAAGGCGTGCGAGTACGCAAAATAGAATGAGTTTATAGACAACTAGGTATCTGAACTAGTCGTCAAATATTAGTAGATAACTAGGTGTCGACCTCACTCTTTGCTTGTGCATGGTGTTGCAGGCTTCACTACTTGACAATGCTCGAGCGTTCTCCCCAATGCGAGCTCAGGTGCGTACAAGTATAGCCTATCGTGCACACATATTCGAAACTTGTAACTCTAAAGTCGCATGCAAGGGTTGTTTCTAGGCTATGCTGTCTCACAATTATGTAACTTCTATTGAATTGTCATACCTTCTTGACGGGGTTCAATGTGATATGAGGCAGCATACACATCACTTGAGATAGATCACTGGGTTTGGATTGGTTCGAGATCTTTACGACAATGTATAGATCCTATCCAAATATTTACCAGATTGCATAGTTCTTCGCTTTGTAGTTATATATATATATATATATATATATATATATATATATATATATATATATATATATAAATATTATATACATACATATATATATATATATATAATATACATATACATATGCATATGTATACACACACACACACACACACACACACACACACACACACACACACACACATATATATATATATATATATGCATATACATATACATACACACACACACGCACACATACACACACACACGCACACATACACACATACACACGCACACACACACACACACACACACACTATATATATATATATAGATATATCAATATGTATATATATGTACATATACATATACATATACATACATATATACATATGTACACACACACACACACACACACGCACACACACATATATATATACATACATACATATATACATACTTACATACATATATACATACATACATACATACTTATATATATATATATGTATGTGTATCCATATATTTTGCATATATATATATATATATATACTATACATATATATATATATATATATATATATATATATATATATATACGTGTATCTCGTCAGAGAAAGTGTCACCCTTCAGTCATTGGACTGCACGTTGTGATTGTCCGATCGCCCGGAGTTGATTACGATGTATAAGGTTCTGATTGTCGTCTTCCTCGTGTGAATTGATAATTTGGACGGTGTATGAATGCAATATTTTGCATATATTCGTAGGGTTTTTGATCTATTATTGCGATTTTTTTATTGCAATTGATTGTCAGCCCAGTTTTATTCTGAGCAATACCAAGGTATACATTTTAAATCGCTTGTGAACAATCGGAAAGCTGACTACGCAAAGTGTTTGCATTACTGTGGTGCAGACACAACGTTCCTTGATCACGCTGGGTCCACACTGGCATCAAAGACTCAGCTGGACGCGCACATGAACGATATTCAGCACACACTCTACTCCAACCCACACAGCCAGGTAAGTATTGCAAGGCTTATTGCACCGCCAGAGACGCATCAGCGTTGCACCTGCCTCATTTCTGTGTGTGTGCGTTTTCTTTATCACTATTGGAACTTCATTTCTAATCTGATCTGTACAGTAAGTGGTAGATTATTTCTTATTTGTATAGTATTGGTAGATTCTTGAGTGGTCCGCAGATGCAAACCGCAATCGATCGCTGTCTTTTGTGATATGTGCCTTTGTTCAATGGCACAACAGCTTTGCACTTGCTGCAACAAACGAGCCTTAACGTTCCTTTGCAAGCTAAGCACACACTACGTTCTGTCTGCGTGTACTTCTTTTATGTAGTTAGAAGATTCATTTCTCATCTGAATGTTAGTTTTGAAGTGTTGAATGGGTTTTTAAATGTGACCGCAACCGCTGGATGCAATTTTCTGCATAGTCTTGTTTGCAAAGCGAAAGGACATCCACATATGTGGTGAAAATCCACATAGCCTATTCTGTTGGATGTACATTTTTTTATAGTTGAGAATTACTTAAGTCCGATGTGTAAGGGGAGCAAAGTCTGAGAAATCAAGCACACAAACGCTTGCATCTATACTTTGATCACACACAAACATTCACACAAATTTCTGGCCTGAGGGCAAGGACATGGTCAAGTGGTCTCTAAAATGAAGGGGACTTTTGCATCGAGTTGCCTTCTTTGCTGATGGTTACTTCGCTCCACCGCGTGTTTGCAGAATCCAAGCAGTGTGCGTACAACAGAAGCGATCGAGCGCGTGCGTGAGCGAGTCCTGCGCTTTTTCAACACCACATCGAGCACACACACACTTGTGTTCACCAGCGGTGCGACAGGGGGTATGAGCATACTCGCAAACTCATTTCCATGGGAGGGTGCACAGTGCAAGTCATGCTTAGGAGAGCGTAAAGAGACTAGCTGTGGCAATACAGCCAGTTTCACGTACTTGAACAGCAATCACACGTCCGTTGTGGGCGTGAGGGGGATGGCAGAACATTCGGGCGCACGCATCTCCACACTGACAGCCAATGAGATGCAAAGGTTAGCCACAGAGTCAATGACACGCACCGATGAAAGACCGTCAAAAGCATGTACTTCACGCAGGCGAACGCGGCACTGTCTATTTGCGTACCCAGCACAATGCAACTTCTCAGGCACGAGATATCCTCTCGAATGGGTCGACTGTGTGCAGAGTGGTGACCTCAACGGCAAACTAGACACTCGCAGGCAACACCTCACCAAACCAACCACACCACAGGGCACGCGGCCCCCTGTTTGTGATTGTATGGCTGAAACGGTGGATACTAAGTGGCATGTTCTGTTGGACACTTCTGCGTATGTCTCGTGCGCTGAACTAGACCTGACTGCCGTGAGAGCTGATTTTGTTACTGTGTCATTTTATAAAATGTTTGGGTACCCCACTGGCTTGGGTGCTCTGATTATACGCAACGATGCCTTAACAGACAGCGGCGGTGGTTGTGAGTGTGGGTGTGCGGCTGCTTCTGATGGTCAGAGTAATGTACCACCGCAAGTCAGTAGCGTGAATAACGGCGATGCACTTCAAAAATTAGTCAAGCCCATACGGGTCAAAGAACACACAAACGCGCAAGTTGGGCCGCATACACCCGCTGCAACGGGTAACGCACTGAAAAGCATGCATGTGAAATCTCCATTGGGTTGGCTTAACAAGAAGTACTACGGCGGAGGCACATTGGCCTTATCTGACAACTCCTCAGGCACACGCGCGTTTGCGAGCAATCTAGCTACAGCTCTTGAGGATGGTACAGTCTCGTATCTGAGTATCCTGGCACTGAATAATGGATTGGATGCTCTCCAGAGAGTGGGGGGCATGAGGGTCATTAGCAGACATACGCACACTGTCGCACACTGGTTGTATTACCAAATGTCGCAGCTCAGGCACCCACGCACCCAAACGCCGGTTTGTTTGTTGTACACATCTCCAGATCGCTGGGAGCTGACCACCGAAACGCGTATAGATACACAACAATCAACACATGCTACTCAAATAAGCCCAAAAAAACGCCTAAGCACTGGTAGACAAGGTCCTGTTGTTACGATGAACCTGTTGGCTGCTGATGGATCGGCAATTGGTTATGCACACGTGGCGCAATTGGCCGCTCTCGAGAAGATCCACGTGCGTACGGGCTGTCTGTGCAACACGGGTGCGTGTCACGACTCTCTTGGGCTGGACCTGCAAGACGTCCTGTCCAATTATAGATCGGGTCATACGTGTGGGGATGGGATGGATATACTCAACGGAAGGCCGACGGGAGCGCTGAGAGTGTCGTGTGGGTACATGAGCACCCTACAGGATGTCAAAGGCTTTCTGGGGTTCGTGTATAAGTACTTTGTCGAGGAACGCTCGGACGTACGTTTGCCAAGTAAGAGTGTTTTAGTGGGCGAAACTACTGCCGAGGAGATATATGGTGTGGAAGTGCGCGAGACTCAAACGCAGGAAAAGGAATGTAATACAAACGATCAGGGAAAGGAAACAACGCAACATGAGCAGCAAGTCTCTCGCGAAACAGGACAGCAACCAACCGTTGCCGCCGACGCGACTGATAGTTTAACATGGGATGCGGAAATGCTGACCCAAAGCCCTTCGGAGCAATGCAACGCAGAAACCCACGCACCACTCGCCAGCACACATCCTGACACGCCCTTAGGTACGTGTGAGGCTACGCTCACACATGTGTACGTCTACCCGATTAAGTCATGTGGTGCCATGGTGGTACCACAAGGACGCACCTGGGCCATGACCGCACAGGGACTGGCCTTCGATCGCATGTGGATGGTGGTGGATGCACTGACGAACAAGCCACTCACCATGAAGACGCACGACAGCATGTGTCTGATCAAGCCCACGCTGGACCTGTATGACACATCGGAGGACGGTATGGACGATAGTGCGGGGATAGGCCTGGCTGTGCAGGAGACAACGGCAGGGCCTGGGACAGGCGAGACAGATGCAAGTGTAGGTGCTGAGGTGGTGTCAGATTTCAAGGGTGTCACTGTGAAGGGCAACTGCGCACCACGTGCACGAGCGCTCCGACTGAACGCACCGGGCATGCGCGAGATTGCGATACCACTCGACGGACTGGATGGGATCAATGGGCAGACCTCCACGCATGCCCATCCACAGACACAAACAGTCACACAAGACTGCCCTCACATTACTGGGACCACTGTGCGGGTGTGCAACAGGCGTGTGTTGGGTGTAAGGGAGACGAGTGATGATGTGCACGCGTGGCTGACGGAGACCTTGGGCGTGCCGTGCATGCTGGTGCGTTGCGCCAAGGCCAGCAAATCCGGAAATGGGCGGACAACTACCACGGCATCACAAGGTATTGGCATGACATCGCAGGGCAATGACGGCAAGAACGACTCCCCATTCCTGGTGGTCAATGCGGATAGCGTGCGCGAGATAGACCGCGTGGCGACGCAGATGCTCAGCACCACAGCCGCATTGCCATGTACAGCAACAGACTACACACCGTCACGCACAGTAGACATTCAGGCGCTGCAGTTCAGACCCAATTTTGTGGTGAAGACAGACATTGAGAGCGAACCCTTTGTTGAAGACAGGTGGACCCATCTGTCTTTCCCCGCACGGGAGACGACGTCACTGGCGGTCCGAAAAGAGTGTGTCAGATGTCAGCTGGTGTGCGTTGATCCGCGCACTGGCGAGCGATCAAAAGTGCCGCTGCAGGCCTTGGGACTGTGCCGGCAGAAGAAGGTAGATTTTTAAGTTTCGCCTCATGACAATGTATTAGAGTGTGTGCAAGCTCGAGCCGTTATTTTCTGCGCATTTTCACGAATGAGGCAGATACAGGAACGTCCACTGGATATCTGACTCCATTTCTTGGTGGAGAGAAAGAGAGAGAGAGGGGGGGGGTTTGGCAGATGCACTATTGTTTATTTCGGCTTTGTATATAACGAAAGGGTTATTGGTAACTGCTTCTTATCACATTACTGTTTTTGCACTTTTGTGGTTCAAAATTTAGACTTGTTTACAACTTATCTGACATATATCTCCCTCTCTTCCGTTAACGCTACAGCTGACTTTTGGCATGTACTTAAACCTCATTTCGGAAGTGCGTTTGCCACGCCACCCCCATATCGTGGTGTGCGCAGAGTGTTTCGAAGATAAAGTGGAGCAAACTAGGGCAGCAGCAGTAGCCATGCATCACCACAGTCACACATGTAGCTACATGTCCAAGCTTGTGCCTGCCGGGGAGGAGACTCACGTACGGTATATCTGCCCTGGGGATGTGGTGCATATTAGGATTAAAGCTGTTGAGGAGCCGAAGGAGAGAAACGACGCTGACCACAGCGAAAGTGAGTGGGACACGGCCAGTAGTCAAAGCAGTAGTGACGATGAATACGACAGTGTGATAGTGAGTGCAGGTCAACCTACTACTGGGGTTGCCGTGAGTACGAGCAAAGCGTGTACGTACCTTGCTGCGTCTACTAATGAGAGACACACGGTGGATGAAAAGCGACAAGAGCGGCGAAACGAAGGAGAGAATATGTGCATGAATGATTCAACACGGGGAATGGATCAAGAAATTGTGCAGGGGATGCCAACTGTCGCAAATGCAGCACAAACAACACCTGTTACGATTACTGACAGGGGAAAGGGCGAAGTGAGTGGTAGCGAGGATAGTTCAGAAGGCGTGTCGGAGAATGTGACATATCTAGACACAGATTCGGATACCTATTCGGACGAAGATTCAGATCTATCCAAAGACTACTACGACGACGATGGTTGAAATTTAGATTGATTGTACCTTAAAGTTAGCCTTTAAAAAAGGAGATACGAATTAGATCAACGAGTGACCGATGGTTCGGGAAAGCGCTACGTACTATTGTATGATGCAGAATACGACATAAAAATTAGGGACACACTTGCATATGGATATTTCTATCTTTATTAGTAAGCACTCACAACCAAATATAAGTAGTGGGTGTTTTACGATGCGCTATACTCACACTTCGGTATTCAGTGGACGTTCAGCAGCATATTGACTTTGATTCATGCAACGGAATCCATCTCATCTTCCAAATGATTGTACTTCTCTATGGCCTATATCGCGATTTGGGAAGCGCAATCGCGGATATCGCTGAACTTTCGCACGTGTTTTGATCAGGTTTACCCACATAAGTCATTGGTGGCTGTTGTGATGCGCCATGATTTAGACTTCTCGGTTGTGACAGCATCAAGGGTTACCTACTCGTAACGTTAATATTCGGAGGCATAGGCTTCAAACGTCTAGGACAACAAAAGCCAATCGGCTAACCACAATGAGCAAATAAAGTCAGTTGATGCACTTCAGCGCGGAGACTGATACAATACGAGACAGCGGACGCAATTCCATTGGGTAAGAAAACGACCTCCCCTATTGGAATCCTCAACAGTTCAATACTTTTATGAATCTGGATCAAGCCAGCTGATTCAATTATTCGGTGAATGTCCCGCTACAAGAAAGACCTAATGCCACCTTGAGAACAACTGGCTGTTCCTGATATCGTGATCTGCGCTAACAAACTCTTCCGGCTCCATTCCAGAGAGAAGGAAACTGACGAAGTGCGCCACATTTTCCGGTGAGTCGAGTGCGTCGGTTGGGGGTGGTTTGCCTTTGCTCTCAGCTGTCTCGCTGGGATCCGTCTTAGCCATGTTAGCATGAAGCGACACGAACATGTCGCGCAGAGGATTCTCCTCCGAATCCGTAGTCCGGATATCGCTCTGTGATTTTATGTGTGATCGTGGGTGCATGTGTGTTATGTGTGATCGTGGGTGTATGTGTGTTATGTGTAAAAACCACATTTGGACCATGGCGAAGGGTGGAGTCATGTCTGGAAGACACAGGAAAATATACAAAACCATCATTTGTGGTTTCGGGTTAACTTTTCCATCTCACACAAATTAATTGATATAACGTAGGCGATCTTCCGACGTAATCGTCACAGACCACTCGAATTGGATTAAGAGGCTGCTCACTAACATATCGTTGATCCCAGAATTCAGGTCTTTGGAGAAATCTATTTGAGGTTTTTTGCAATAGGGCGGTCACCGGTAAACACAATGGGACACGACACGACATACACACGCAGCACACAAAGCATTGAACACAATCCACGAAAATCGAGTGAAAATATCAGTCGTCTTAGTTGTGAGAAAATTAAAGCTCGGACCATGTAGCCGATTTCGGTAAACACAGGATCAGGGACGAATATGTTTGATGTGCAAATGCCAAATACGGATATGAAACGGCTTGACACTATTCATGGGGCTTGGCATGATTGATGGGAAGAAAAAAGCGTCAGAAACAGACGCATGAGAGCACCACACACTACCTGCATCGCTGTATCGACTGTACCCGGCATGAAAGATCCTACGTATATCTTCTTCTCGAATAATTCCTTGCTCATAACTCTGCGAGTGATTGGTAGATATTTTGCGTTAGAAATTTATGCCAAAATATTCAAGGTGCGCGCTCGGCCGGTGAGTACACTGACAAGAATACATACAGTCACAATGGTAGGCCCAATTTTGATATCACTTCTTCAGCAAACTTAAATACGTAATATGATACAAAGAATCAATGCACCCTTGTTCTTCTTGGTGATTGATTTCACTACGCGGTCATCGCTCCATTCAGCTTTAGTACACGGAACAATCATTCGATCCTTCCTGGAAAGGATCTGGCCGAAAACGATTGCAATGCTCTCCAATAGGATGCGTATGAAGATATAAAATATTCATCTCGACTATTCATTGAGAGGACTATTTTAGTGTTCAAATCATGCGCATGGGATACAACAATTCAGATTCATCCCATACGCGTACATAGCAAGTGCATATAGGTGCACATACATATGATAGCCGCACATACCACACACGAAAATAAATAAATAAATATATATATATATACATATATATATAAATATATATATATAAATATATATATATAAATATATATATATAAATATATATACATATATATTTATACATATACGTATACGTATACATATACACATATAT